GTCGTGTCTTTAATTTTGATGTTTTTCTAGATCCCCTTTTGTGTCTATCTAACGTTTTTTCAGATATGACCTTGTTTATCTGATGTTCCTCTAGATATGATGTTGCTTATCTGACGTTCTTCCAGATATGTCTTCAAAATCTTTTCCCATACATTTAAAGCTTTTCTAAATGTTTCGGATGTATCTTCAGAATCTTTGTCTTCATCTAATGCTCTTCTAGATGTCTTCAATTTGTTTCTGACTTTGGTTAACAGTTGTTGAATATTATCAAGTCTGTTTCCATTCTTCATCCAAAGCTTTTCTAGATGTGTTCCAGAGTTTATTCGATATTTTTTTTCCGAATATCTCTGATGTTTTCCAGAGTCTATTCAATAATTTTCTGAATATCTCTGATGTTTTCTATGTTTTCATTCAATGCTTTTCTGAATTTCTCTGATGTTTGCTCGAAAGTCCTTAATGTATTTCTCTGAATTCTCCTCACCTCATTCAATGATCTTCTGAATGTTGTGACTCTTTTCCATCCAATTCTGTTAATGGATGATGACTGTTGATTTCCCAGTGGAGCTTATTCAATACCATTCTGAATATCTCTGATGGATGCTTGATGTTTTTCCAAAGTTCGTTCAATCCTCTCCTGAATGTCTTTGATGGTTGTTGTTGTACTTTCCCAGAGTTTTGCTCAATGTATTTCTGACAAAACCTCTGATGGTTATACCCCTTTTCCTAGTATATAGTTATCCCACGTGGCATCATTCCCCACAGGATCCCTATCTTGCATTCATATCATTTCATGCCATATCATGTGCATCTTGTGGCATCTTAAGGCCAAAAATTGTGCATGTTTGTATTTAAGTCTCTCCTATCACGTCGAGACAAAGATTTCAATCTCCATATCTCCAGATAGAAGAAACTTAAATAGGGGTATCTGTCATGCCCTAAATTTTGACCCTAAGATTCTGTTTTTTTCTTTGTTTCGCATCGTCTGCATAACATAACATGCACTTCATCTTGCATAGTGTCCGAAATGTCAGTTAGAATAAATTTGTTGGATTTACAGAGAAACCGATCTAAATTTATTTTAAAATCTGGCCGAACGCTGTATTTTTCCAATATGTTTATTTTGCACTGATTATTTTGGTGTGTACATGTTATTTTTTCGAGCACTTTTCTGCGCGACTTTTTATTTTGTTTTTTAATCATTTTTATTTAAATAATCATTTGATTAGATATTTAATTTATATTTATATTTTTATTAATTAATTTTATTTTTAATTTGTTTATTAATATTTTCTTTTTTTATAAAAAAAATACAAAAAACATGATTTTTACTTCTTTTTATTCTTGTCTTATTATAAAAAAAAACACAAAAATATAATTTTTAATTTTTTTTATTCTTGTCTTATCATAAAAAAACACAAAAACATGATTTTTAATTCATTTTATTCTGGTCTTATCATAAAAAACACAAAACATGATGTTAATTGTTATTATCATTCTTGTCTATTTTCTAGTCCTATATATATGCATTAGAAAAAACAAAGAGGACACAAAAAAAAAGAAAAAAACACTCACGCTTCATCCTTTCCTCTCCACAATAATGTACCAACTCACTCCGCAACAGCGCGCGCATCATCTTGCTCCTCCAACTTCCGCCAGCAACGGTTCGACATCGCGGTAACATTTGGAAACGAGTTTTCTCTTGTATTATGCTGTATGATGTTTTAATATTTTGTGTTGGTTTTGATTTGACTACGTAGCGTATTTACCGATTGGTGTGTGTTGAGTTTCGATTCGGTTTGAATGCGATCTTATCATTATTGATGTGTTGCTGCTATTAATTTGTGGTTTTTGCTTGATTCATTGGCCTGTTGTTCTGTTATCACATTTTGCCTCCATTTTAAATGTTTGTTTCTATTAGTTTTAGTTATATACTTCTGTTTTTTTTAATTACAGTTACACATATACTTCTGTTTATTTTTAAGATATAGTTATATGTTATACTTACTTCTATGTTTTTTTAGCTATACTTACTGCTAATTTTTTTAAAGTTATAATTACTTTCTAGTTATTTTAGTTACTACTCTTTTTTAAAGTTATACCTATTGGTAATCTTTTAGAAGTTATAGTGATATACTTATTTCTACTTTTTTTTTAAGGTTATAATAGTATATTTATACATCTGGTTTTCAGTTATACATATGTATCTTTCATTTTTTTTCTTCTTGTTTTACATGTACCTTCTTTTTAGTTTTAGTTTTTTAAAGTTTTCTGATTTAATGCTTAATATATATACATATTTTTTGTTTTTTTTAACTTTGTAAATTTGTATATAAAATTGTGATTTGAGTTTTAACTTTTATATATATATATATATATATATATATATATATATATATATATATATATATATATATATATATATATATATATATATATATATATATATATATATATATATATATATATATATATATATATATATATATATATATATATATATATATATATATATATATATATATATATATATATATATATATATATATATATATATGTGGTGTGTTAATATCATTTATTTATTTATTTTCATAATCTAAAAAAAGATTAAAAATATTTTAATCTTTTGTTTCTAATATTCTTATCAAATTTTTTTTATATTGTTAAAAAAATATATGAAAATATGTTGTAATTATTAGTTAATATAAATATTAATATTTAAATTAATTAATAATTTCTTGTTGCTCAATTTCAAAGGAGAATTCTTTTTTTGACTGCCATGTTATATTTAGCCTAACCTTAAGTCTTTTCCCTTGCATCCTAGCCTTAGGATTGAAGTCGTCGTACTCTATGTGAGTGTCCTGCTATGGACATTTCCTTTTCCGTTTATCCTAGCCTTAGGATTAGAGTCGCCGCACTCTATGTAAGTGTTCTGCCATGGACACTTACCTCCTTTTAAACTTAGCCTTAGGTTTAGAGTTTCTTAACTCTATGTAGGTGTTCTGCCATAGACATGTACCTCTTTCATTTGAAATCTTGATCACAGTCAAGAATTTCTCACCCTTATTGAGGGGAACTACGAATGATCTAATTCCATTCCCGTCAGAATACGTAGGTACGAGATGCGATGTCTTGGCGAGCATACACAGGACTAACACCTTAGGTCTCTTCCCCTTTTCTTTACACCCTTTATCAGACAAAAATAACAAATAACACAATAAAACAATAAGTTCCTGTAGAATACTACAAATACTTAGGATGCTATCACATTCCCTAGGTATAACCAACCCCCGAACTTTAGATTTTCTTTACTTTGCATTGCATTGCATATTTTGGGTTTATTCGTTCTTTTTCTCTTTATTTGAATAAATTAAAGATCGGTGGTGAATTAAGATTTGTGAACCTGATTAACTTAATAGTTATAGTATCTAATTCTTGCCGCAACATATTAGACATATACGAGAGACTTATATATTCTTCAGCTCATCTATTTCCCTTTTACTAACTCATCTTTATAGAAAGAAAAATAATTGTGTGCACTTTTTTCTTCCTTAGGCCACACATTTAATTTCATTCATATATTTAACATTTTATCTATAGAAATTAGAAATAATTTTGTAAAGAAGATGCTAAATTTATCTTTCTTTAAATTTTTTCTTCCTATTTAGTGAGTTTTGGCATAGTCCACGATTTATTTCATATTACAAATTTTTGTAGTTTAGTGATTAAAATTTCATCTTTAAACATAAATAAGTGAAATATTATGAGTTTAAATTCACGCTTCTCGTTGCATAACTATGCATTACACCGCCTCAAAAGAGCCTACTTCCATCTTCTTTAATACATTGAAATTAATTAAGAAAATCCATTATTAAAAATATAATACTAAACAATTAAATAAGATGAACTTTGTATTTAATAAATAAATTTGATTGAAAGTCTCTAAAGAATTTATTGTAGATTGATATATTGAGTATACTCCACTTTATTTTATTAAAAAAAATTGATTATGGCGTCTCATTATTCATTAAGATTACTTAATGTACTATTTAAAAAGTTAATCCGGTCATTATTAATTATATCGTCGTATATACGCTACGTTTTATTAGCTGGAAAATATTCAACACATTTGATTTGATTTGCGTGCAGTTACATTACGTTTTAAGATTCCAAGTGCATAAGATTCGAGTACGAAACATACTCAATTTAATAAAAGATTTACCAAATAATATAACAAATATTACTAATAGATTTTAAAAAAATGAAGTAGTTGAACAAACAATTTATAATATTATTATTAATTAATTATTATATACGGTATTACTAATTAAAATAGCGTAGTAGCGAAGACACAAAAAGAGATAAAGATAAAATAATTTAAATATTTCGTCAGAGAGAGGGTGTCGGAGGAAAACGCGGGTGTGTAAGTGACTTTGTTTGTTGTGTTTCTGAAAAAGAAAGAGAGAGAAAACTAGAGAGAGAAAATAAGAGAGATTGATATTATCATATGATACTCTATCCATTGATAAAATCCAAAAATCCGAACCCTTTCTCGTTTGGTCACGACGATCTAAAGAATCTCGTCGATCCATTATAAAACCTATTCACACTCAACTTCACTCACCACGATTCAATTCAATTCTTTCTTCGTTTTCAATCTTCCTCATCTTGTTTCAACGATAAGGTTTTCTTTTCCTTTTTTCCACTTCTTCTACATTTGGAAATTCTCTCTTTTTTTGGCTTCATAATTGGATCTGCAATTTATTTTAGTAGATTCCTAGGTTTAATTATGATTTTTCATTCTCATTGAATTTTATGAATTAATTGATTAATTGAAGTTATTATAGTGATTAGACTCAGGTTTTGTTAGTTTTTTTTAGTAATAATTGTTGATATTATGTATATACCAAACTGATTCTGTTTGGTTTATACTGAACATAGAAAATTAAAAATTAACATGAAATGATCATAATTGTTTTGGATTTTGTTGGTGATTTGTAGGAATGGCGACTCAGGTCGAGCCTCCGAACGGGATAAGAGCGGAAGGGAAGCATTATTATTCTATGTGGCAAACGCTATTTGAGATTGACACAAAATATGTGCCGATTAAGCCGATTGGTCGAGGAGCGTATGGGATTGTGTGTTCTTCGGTTAATAGGGAGACAAATGAGAAAGTTGCTATCAAGAAGATACAAAACGCGTTTGAGAATCGTGTTGACGCGCTCAGGACTTTGCGGGAGCTTAAACTTCTTCGACATCTTCATCACGAGAATGTTATTGCTTTGAAAGACATCATGATGCCTATTCATAGGAGTAGTTTTAAGGATGTTTATCTGGTTTATGAACTCATGGACACCGATTTGCATCAGATTATTAAATCTTCTCAAACATTGTCTAATGATCACTGCCAATATTTCCTCTTTCAGGTATGAATTATTTTGTAAAAGGGTAACTTGGTATTCTTTTGTGTCAAATATATGCCATTGTTTTTCTATCTATGTATGCATGTGTTTATTATTCTAGAGGAACACACTTTTGGAACTCATTTGTTAATCTTGCAGAAGAACCCATTTTGAACATGAAATTCAGTAAAACCGTCCTTTAACACCAAACAGAGCAGATTTGTTGTGTTTAGAAATTATAGATTATGTACAATCATTTGCGTTGTTTGAATGATTGTTGTATTTACTAATAGAAAGTTCTTTTGTTGCAGTTGCTTCGGGGTTTGAAATATCTACACTCAGCCAACATCCTTCATCGCGACTTGAAACCTGGAAATCTCCTAATTAATGCAAATTGTGACCTAAAAATATGTGATTTTGGGTTAGCACGCACAAACTGCAGCAAGAACCAGTTCATGACGGAATATGTTGTCACTCGGTGGTATAGGGCACCAGAACTCCTACTTTGCTGTGACAACTACGGGACATCTATTGACGTATGGTCAGTGGGATGCATCTTTGCAGAGCTCCTTGGACGAAAACCTATTTTCCCTGGTTCAGAGTGTCTCAACCAACTAAAGCTTATTATCAATATCCTTGGTAGTCAAAGGGAGGAGGATATCGAATTTATTGATAATCCAAAGGCAAAGAGATACATCAAATCACTTCCGTATTCTCCTGGAACCCCGTTTTCCCGACTTTACCCCAATGCACATCCGTTGGCAATTGATCTACTAGCTAAGATGCTTGTTTTTGATCCCACAAAGAGGATTAGTGTTACGGAAGCACTTCAACACCCTTTCATGGCCTCTCTCTATGATCCTAATTGTGACCCTCCGGCCATCATTCCAATTGATCTTGACATTGATGAGGATCTCGGGGAAGAGATGATAAGGGAGTTGATGTGGAGGGAAATGGTTCATTACCATCCTGGATCTGCAATGGGAAATGCAGAGTTGTCGTCTTGATTTTATTCTCTTCAGGGTTCTATTTTTAGTATGTTCCCTTTGTTGTTTCTAATAGTGTCTAATATAATCGCTTGTTTTGAATAATTAGGAGGGCTCGGTCATCGGTGAGCTCGATATATATTCTGTTTCCTCTTTGTTGAGAACAGAGAAAACAGCTAAAATATGATCATCTTGAAAAAACATGAAACACTGTTTGCTGATGATGCATAATAGTAGTTTTTAACTGCCATTTTGAGACATTGATTTTGTCTATTGAACTCTGTATTTTGCTTGCCTCGTTTGAGTTGTATATAATGTTTCTTAAACTATTCTGTAAATTAAGTCCAATGTTTATCAGTCTTTATTTTCTCTTGGCTAAACTTATAATCTCTGTGCTTCAAATGTTGTGTCTCACAAAACTTGCATAGTGAACATATATTCTTCTTTTGAAATTATGCACATCACTAAGGCTGTGCTTGGTAAGGCCAACCTTTGAGTCTTTCAATGATTCAAATTATTCTCATCTTTGACACTATCAATATGTTCTTCAGCATTTAATGATTTAACATTAAATTAAAGGCCTAATGCATTAAGTTATCTTACCTATTTATTTATTTTTATTTTCAATTTATTATTATTTGTTATTAATCAGTTGAAATACCAACACTTCTCCGCTCTCTTCTCAAAAGCTAAAGAGCTTTAAGATTCCGTCGCCGTTCACATCTCTAAATCATTAAATCAAACAACATTTTTCATTTTTACCAAACAACATTTTCCATTTTTCGTCGCCGTTCACATCTCTAAATCATTAAACCAAACAACATTTTCCATTTTTCCGTCGCCGTTCACATCTCTAAACCAAACAACATTTTCCATTTTTACGAAACAACATTTTTCATTTTTCCGTCGCCGTTCACATCTTTAAATCATTAAACCAAACAAAATTTTCCATTTTTCCGTCGCCGTTCACATCTCTAAATCATTAAACCAAACAACATTTTTCATTTTTCCGTCACCGTTCACATCTCTAAATCATTAAACCAAACAACATTTTTTTCTATGTTCCGAACATGTGCTTAAAAGATGGAGTGGGATCAGTGAGGTTGGTTATAGTAAGGCATGGCCGGAAAGTCTTCTCTTGCCTCTATCATTGAAAGAAAGGTTGGTTAACAATTTAATTTGGAGAGTTTGCTTTTCTACGTATAAAAGCCACACAATATTTTCCATTTCTCTTTATTTTGAATAACTCAACACTGTATATGGTTGTTCTTATCGGACTGAAGGTTTTATATGTGCTTGAGATTAAGCACAACAAAATGGTTGAAAAAGTCAGTTAGGTATGAGTCAAGAGCAATTTATAATTTGAATCAAATGAATAAGTGAAGTGAGATAAAAGAAAAAACAAAATTTTGAACATTTGTCCGTTGATTCGAATCACGAGAAAAATGTGATTCGAATCAAAGACCTCGTGATCCAAATCATGTAGGTGAACAACATGAAATTGATTCAAATCATGTGTAAAAAAATGACTCAGATCAAATGGCCAAAAATTCCAGTTTTGCCTCTGTCCAATTTGATTAGAAAGTGTGATTTCTATGATTCGAATCAAACACATAAAATCTCAAGTTTTCATAGTTTTAAAAGCACTTGGAGATTTTACTTTGAATCAAACTAAAAAAAACATAAAAGGTTTTTATTCCACTTACTCATTCAATTAATCAAAAAACACCATCATCTAGATCAAATCCAACCAATGGTTTATGCATGCTAAAAATGAATCTTTTCAAACTTGACGCAATCATGAAGGAAACTCAATAATCAAAATTAAATCAAAGATGAATGCGATAAGACAAGCAACAAAATAATCGGATTTAGGCGCTCTCGCTGGATTAATTAGGGACATGCAACTACATACAACAATATATTCCACTCTAATCAAGTTATGACATTAGCTTGGAATACAAGAAGAAAAAGACTCAAACCCTAGCGCAAAGAACCTAGTTTTTGCGCACAAAAACTCTTGTTAAACAATAAAAATTGAGTTTCCTTATACAAAAATGTCTTTTGGGCTTTTTCTCCATGTGGATCTGCATTTAATTCATCCAGAAAATAGCTGAATTGGTTGCATATGATTCGCTTCTCAAATATCTCCAAGAAAAAATATGATTTGTTCTAATTCAAATTTAAATCACATAAAAATCTGATTTGAGCAACTCCATCTATCAAACAAATCAATAACACATTACTAAAATAACTGCATCAAATTTGATTGAAAATAAATCATAAAATACGCAACAAATGTAATACCCTAATCCCCAAATCTTAATATAACAGAGAAAAATGTACTGTTTAGGAATGTTATTTCACACAAATCATTCATTCCATAAAATATTTTCAAACTTGCAGCGGAAAATCAAATAATTATCATAATCATCAATAATATATTAAACCACCAAATAACGAAAAATAAACTTCAACAGAAAATTCCAAAACAAATGACACGCATGTTCTCAGTGTTACTGACTAGAGCAGACGACAACCAACTAAAAGCGATAAAAAACAAAAGGAAGAAAGCTCCAAGATCATCTTCCACTCACAAGTGACTACTCCTGTTAAATATTTGTACATCAATTTGCATACAACCAACAAATAAAAAATAAGAAAAGGGTGAGAATATATCTTACAAATGTTAACTGTGAAATTTAGAAACAACATAGTAATAGCGGGTTCATAAATACATCATTCCCACCCCAAAACACAATCAAAGTGAAATAATAATGCGAATGCAAATTCTAATGCCACCAACTCCTCATTAAAATGCATGTGGTACCGGGTGTTTGGGATCATACGTATGTTACTGATTTATCCATGTCTCTGGTTCCTCTTGAAATGTGTCCCTCTCTAGACGTAAGACCTCCATAGTCTTGAGCCTATAGGTTGCTCATAACATGTCGTCATTGTAATCCTTTTGGATTACTATTCATCAAAAATCGCCAATTAAGGCCGTCACTATAATCTCATTCGATTAGTATACTAAAAATATATGGTTTAAACAATTTAATTACTTTTCATCAAAAAGGCAAAGTTATGTTATTACTCCAACCCTCCAACTCATCAAAATTCGCAGGAATACTCAAAACACCTCAGATCTCCCAATTGTTAAAAATAACTCTAGAGTACCCCAAAATATATCTAAAGTACCCAAAGTGCTCTAAAGGTAAATGTTCACATGTGATAACTCTATAAAGTATATGTGAGATGTTGGATCGAACTCTAGTATAGTCGAAGTCTGTTCGCGAGTAATGCGTGTTATAGTCGAAGTTTGTTCTAACATGCATTAGTAAATATTGCTAGGGTTGTTAGCATGTTGAATTGGGCCTTGGTTGTAACCCAAATTGTTTAAGTTAGCTTGTACCCTAAGTTGGCTTGTAATGGGTAATTGTTAAAAAGCCCATTAGGTTAGTGTGCTATTTTTCTTATAAATAGGATGCTAGTTTCTCAATCTTGTCATAAGGAAAAATAGGAAGATAAAATCCTAATTTCAAGGGAGAGAGGTTATTTTGTTATTCTTGTATACTTGTAATCTTGTTTTAAGAAAAAGGAAAGAATAGCAGTTTAATAATCAATCCTTGTTGTTCCTTGTTGTTTTACCTTGTCTTCTTTATTAACCCTAACCCGTGTGTGTTTCTTGATTATTAAGAAACCGTTTATACTTTGTTTAAAGGTATCTGATTCACAACAAATTGGTGCGGTGAGCGTGGAGAAGATGCCTTTAACAAAGCATGAGATTGAAAACTTCACCGGAGTGAACGACTTCGGTCTGAGGCGCTTGAAGATGAAAGCCTTATTGGTTCAGCAGGGTTGTTTGGAAGCGTTGAAGGGTGAGGCATCCATGGATGCTGCGTTAACGACAAAAGAAAAGACGGGCATGATCGAGAAAGCCCACAGCGCAATATTGTTGAGCCTTGGTGATAAGGTTCTTCTACAGGTATCAAAGGAGACTACAACATTGGGATTATGGGTGAAACTTGAAAGTTTGTACATGACCAAATCTCTGGTGAATAGACTATACCTGAAGCAAGCTTTATATTCATTCAAGATGAGTGAAGACAAAGTGTTGGCTGAGCAGTTGGATATGTTCAACAAGCTGATTCTTGATTTTGAAAATAATGATGTGAATATCGATGATGAAGATCAAGCACTGTTTCTGTTGTGTGCTTTGCCCAGAACACATGCTCACTTCAAAGAAACTCTCTTGTATGGAAGGGAGTCCCTGACCTTTGAAGAAGTTCAATCAGCCTTGTATTATAAGGACTTGAACGAACGAAAGGAGCATAAACCTTCAACGGTCGACGAAGGTTTGGCCGTTAAGGGAAAATTCTTGCGAAAGAATGGTAAGTTCGACAAGAAGAAAGGTAAAAGTCAACAGAAGTCTTATAGTGGCGAAACATCTAGTATTCGATGTTATCACTGTAAGAAGGAGGGTCACATAAGAAAGGTGTGCCCTGAACGCCTGAAAGATCATGGAGGTAATGGCAATGCAACCATTGTTCAAGATGACTTCGACTCATCTGATGTTCTTGTGGTTTCAAGTGGTGACTCGAGGAAAGAGTGGATTATGGATTCAGGTTGCACTTGGCACATGACTCCAAACAGAGAATTGTTCGAGGAGCTATGTGATCAAGATGGTGGATCTGTGCTGCTAGGAAAAAACAAATCTTGCAAAATTGCAGGTATTGGATCTGTGAGATTCAAGCTCCATGATGAGTCAATAAGGTTATTGACTGAAGTCAGGTACGTACCTGACTTGAAGAGAAATTTGATTTCTCTTGGTGAATTCGACAGAAAAGGATATGTTTTTCAAGGAGAGAAAAGTATCCTAAGAGTCATGAAGGGGTCGAAGGAAGTCTTGAGAGGCGTGAAGAAACAAGGCTTGTATACCCTTGAGGCTGAGGTTGTAAGTGGTTCGACAAATGTTGCATCCGCGAAATCTATGTCGAAGACAAAATTATGGCACATGA